GAGAACGAGAGCTGGAGTGTGAAGATGTCATGTTGCTCAAATGAGCACACTACACTATCTAAATAAACACGGTAAAAATTATGATAATGAAGGCATGATAGGATGCAACCGGAAATGTGAATAACCCGGGGCAGAAGGGGAGATACCACAATTGTTTAGCACAAGTCTGGTCAGAGGATCGGCTTCACTTGTCTCTTTGACAAGTTATTGTGTAGTGCTAAGAATGGCGATACTCACTGAGGATGCCGGCGAAACGTTTGGGAATGTACTACGTCCACGGTTCAACTTTGGAAATGATCATGCAGACAATGCCCCCGGACTAGGTGCGTTCCAATAAGTCTTCCTACCAATATGACCATGTTGCGAAAACAAGGTCAAACAATCGCGGACAAGGTGCGTTCCAATAAGTCTTCCTACCAATATGACAATGTTGCGAAAACAAGGTCAAACAAGCTTTATAGAAATTTAATTAAATCAAATCTCGTACTCCTAAAACACTATTTTCATTCACCATATCTCTGCAAATCACAATTTCATGATATTTTTATTGTTTATTTAACCAGACAAATGTTTTGGAAGTGTATCTACCATATTTTAACTTATCTTGATTTAAATCCTTTTAGCATAGCAATGTTTTAAGAGGGCCTATGAGTTTTTGTTTCCAACAAAATAAATAAACATAAATATCGAAGGTAGGAAGACCAAAATGTTGTTTCCTTTTCTGTGGTCGCAGTCTGTTTTTGTTGTATAGAGGTTTTTTAACCTTGTTTTCGCAACTTGGTCATATTGGTAGGAAGACTCAGAGGAGTCCATTGTATGCATGATCATTTCCAAAGTCGGACCGTGGACGTGGTGCATTCCCGGACGTTTAACCGGCATCGAAGTCGACATTGTCAGTGAGTCTTGCCATTCTTAGCACCATACTACTACTCGTCAAAGAGACAAGTGAAGCCGATCTTTTGATAAAACGTATTCTAAACAGTTGTGATATCTCCCCTTCTGCCCTGAGCTATTCACATTTCCCATATCCTCGTATCAAGCCTTCACTGTTATAATTTTTTCCGTGCTTACATAGAAGCAGTGTGGTGTGCCCTTTTGAGCGGCATTTATGAGAACCCTCCACACTCCACACTGGCGTTCTCGCCTCCCCTTCACCCTTCTTTTGGGAATGTTGATCAGAGTCTGCCATATTGTTACACCGTCCTCCTTCCCTAGGTCTTATCAGAGTCTCCCTCTTGCCTCGCAGAATCCGTCTGCCATCGCTCTGGTTCAAGTATTTCACTCGACCTCTATCACTCCATCTGTGTTACTCGAGGCGTTATTTTCCACACTCAGCGTCAAGTCACTAATTCGAGGCTAATGCCTCTGAGTAAGTCTCATGGTCAAGCCTTTGCTACATGAACCACGTCTATGGTAAAACAGGCCTACTGTCAGCCAACTAGCTCCTGTCTCCGCTGCGTCTATCCTGTTTCTATCTTTAATACGAAGTCTATGACTTCCTATGCCTCAGTCATTTGTCTGCCAACCCATAATTGTTATGGTATTGCTTGCTTTGATTAGGTTCAATATTGAACCACAACGTTTGTGGGTTGGCACACAAGTTTATGATCTCCCGAGAATAATGTGTTCTCTTTATTTAGTAAAAATGTCTCTTTTACTAGTTTATCTACCTTCTCACTTGTTTATTTATGATACCATTGTTTACTTCTTAATAGTGAAGAATTTTTTGAGAAAGCTGATTATTTTATCATATTCATTAATCAAACACTCTTATATTGCTCCTTCTCTATTAAATGGGACATTATATCACTATGATTCCTGATCTTATTAAATTTGCTGCTTTTTTCGAGTTTGCTTCAGTAGGAACTAATTGAGAAAACTAGGAATTACGATTATAATTTAAAATTTTTGATTATATACTTATTAAATGCCTATGTACTTTCCGTTATCGGCATTGCTTTCTTCACGCAGTGGTATGCATGAATTTGCTGCACTCTCTCCGGGACAACTAATTCATTCTGCCCAGTTTCCTATTCGGCGTCGAGTCCATCATAGCGAACCGGAGTCTGAACGATCTCCACCCTTAGCTTTGGATGCCTATCCTTCGCGGCAGCAAGTTACTAATACCACAGCGAATGTAGCTAATGCCGCCTCTGAGCTTGTGTCTCACAATGTATGTCTACAAATCCTTGCTGTCTTATTATACTCGATGGTTTGCTTGGGTTTCATCTTTAATTTTAAATTCTTATTAAGGCCGAGGCCCGCTAAACAACTATTATATGTTAATGTAATTATGTGCATTATATATATGGGTGGGGAATTATTCCATTACTTGGGCTGTTCTATTTTATTATATATATATATATATATATATATATAGTTTGTTATTAATAAAAAATGGGTATGTAGAAAAACTGGATTTCGAAGAATCTCTTAATAGATTGGTGTTGAAATACCTTTCATTTCGTTTGAGGAGGAGCTTTGATTGTAGATTTGCGCGAATAGGTTTTCGGCACACCGCCCTGTGGTCTCGATGAATCCTTGCTAAGCTTTCGTCCGTAATGTGACTGACATCATCAGAGCAGGACACCATGCTTAACCATAATTTATCTTCGTGTTTTTGATTAATTATCGTAAAGAATGATATCCTGTTTTAACGATGTCCGTCACATTATGGACGAAAGTTTAGCACTTATTCATCGAGGTCGCAAGGCGATTCGCCGAGGACCTATTCGCACAAATCTACAATCACAGCTCCAAGACAACCCCCTACAGCCTTCGATGGAACTAACTTACGAATCCCTTCCACTCGCCTCTTTAAACGAAATGAAAGGTGCTCCAATATTAAGCAAAATAGAAATTGTTTGACCTTGTTTTCGCAACTTGGTCATATTTGTAGGAAGACTTAAAGGAACGCACCTAGTCCAGAGTCCATTGTATGCATGGTTATTTCTAAAGTCGGACCGTAAAAGTGATAAATTTCCAGAGGTTTCGCCGGCATCATTGGTGAGTCTTGCCATTCTTACCATAATGCAACAACTCGTCAGAGACGATCTTTTAACCAAATGAGTACTAAACGGTTGTAGTGTCTCTCCATCCGCCCTGGGCTATTCACATTTCCTATATCCTCGTACCACGCCTTCACTATCACTTTTTTTCATTGCTCATTTAAATCTAGTGTGGTGTGCCCTTCTGAGCGTCTTTAATGACGACCCTCCACACTCAACGCTGGCGTTCTCACTCCTCTTCACCCTTGTGTTGAAAATGTTGATCAGAGTATGCAATGTTTTTACGCAGTCCTTTCCTAGGTCTTATCAGAGTCTCCCTTCTACCGCGTAGGATCTGTCTGCTATTTCCATGAATCAAGTATTTCATTCGACCCTTGCCACCCCATCTGTGTTACTCGAGGCGCTATTACCGATCTTCTGAGTCTGGGCGGCTAATTCGAGGCTCAAGCCTCTGAATAAGTACCATGGTCAAGCCTTTGCTACATGGTAAAACCTACTATTATCCCTTTAGCTCCAGTCTCCGCCTCGTCTATCCTGTCTCTATCCGTAATAGCAATTCTATGACTTGCTATGCCTTAGTCTCTTGCGTGCCAACCCACACATTTTGTGGTACTGTTTGCTATGATTAGGTTCAATTTCCTATTATTTTTACAAGGGCAAAAACTGAATATATCTCCCAGACTTGAACGATGGATTATTAATGGAAATATAAAGCAAATTTTCGAGTTTATTAGTTAGTTTAGGACTTTAGCTAAACCAATAAATGCTTTCAATATGATAGTTTGATAATTTCCTTATTTCTCATAAGACTGATTAAAAAGTGATTATTTTTTACCACTGATTAGTTTTACTTACTTTTACAATCCTAACCTCTTGATCACAATTCCTCACATCTCCCTTCGTCTCTCATTCTCAGACGCCTATTGTACCTGGAGCCTCTACAGGCCTGACCACATCCAGCACTAGTCTGGACAAACTGCGCACTAACTTTTTCGCTTGGTCTTGCCGTTGGTTTGCTCAGCCTCTTCTACCCAAATACGAGCCAACTTCAACAACGCCTCGTAGCTCCACTCATGCTACCTCGTCTGTACTCACTCCTCCGCCTATTCTATTACTATCTCAAGCCTCAGCTGGGCAACCCGGACATGGCTGGCGCCATCACGATGCTCTACAGACGCATCCTGTCTCGGGTAACGTAGCCATCTCTATCTCCTCTACACGCAGTGTGATCAAGTCGGCGTCGTCACCTGAAACAAGGGCACTAATAACTAAGACTGTAGGGACTCCTATCGACCGCCAGAACAAGGACTATACGGTCATTGATAAGTGCAAAACTGGTTTGAGCGCAGGTGGACAAAACAGAGAGGATGTACTTACTACTTCAGATACCACTACAGCAGTTGGAGT